GCGGACCATTTTCATTTATATAGTGCTCTGTGAACACAAATTAGTTAGCAAAAATTAGTTAAATAATGAAAAATTAGGTGTCTATTTACTTGTGACCACTCAGTGTATACTAACAGTAACAAAAAATATACAACTCAGGTCTATTACTTCACTACAACCTCGTTGTTATCAATACTTTAATTTAATACAACACTATACTAACAGTAGCATAAAAAATATACAACTCAGGTTTACCATGAGTGAACTCACCAGGAGAGCCTGGAGCAGACTGGGTTGTTTTGATTTCTTGTGACATAAAGTAAGAACTAGGGTTCAATAGGGTTACCCCTGTTGGATCATCGGCTGTGATTTCAGGCACCGGGCTGGGCTCTCGAGATAGAGAATCTGGCATGGTTAAGCCACTGAAACTACCATGTGTTGGTGAGGCAGGTGCTGATCTGTTTAAAGATATGTGTAACTTGCTAAATATTATCTTATATATATATATATATATTATATTGTTAACAGGTACTATTTCCTCATGTTATTATTCTGTAAAATAAAGGTTACACTACTCATTTGAATTCCCAAACAGATTAATAGCAAAAAAAAGGCCAGTAATTCTTGTGGAGTAGAAATACAGTACAATAAAATTCTAGTTCTCTTCCCAGCAATAACTGCAAAGATCCAGTTCTAAAAACATATGAACACATAAACTAACCTTGATGAAAGACCACCAAGTGGAGTTCTAAAACAAGGAACACCTCGCTGCCGACGACATCTAAAAGCCTGTTCTATCAATTTGGACTCAGAGTGAGGATCAATTCTCCAAAAAGACCCCTTCCCTGGCTCCTCCTGAGACCTTGGCACTTTTACAAAGTAGCGGTTTAGAGACAGATTGTGTCTGATTGAGTTCTACCCAAAAAAAGTACTGTATTAAAACAAGGTTCAATCTTTCTTTCTTTTTATATAACAACAACTAGTATCTAAATTATCTCAATATCAGTTCAGTGTTAAGAGAAATGCTAGTTCTACATCTTCTGAGAAATGTTAATTACAACTGTTAAATAAACAGCAAATTGCAGAAGTTATTACTTCTCTATATCATATCACTTACATTTGAGAGCTTAGAGCATCATTTCCCAACCTCTTATTCCTTGATGGACACAGCTGTTAACAGTGTTCCAGTCTCTCTCTACTGACCATACATGGACCTTTCTCTCATTAACTCTCTTGTTACATACATGCTCAGTTGATTACACTGACCTGATGCCATAAAGTGACAAGTTTCCATACTATGACTTTTAACATTTTCTCTCAAAAACTTTATATTTTATCTGTTATTTTCCCTACCTTAACTCTATAATGGATTGGTCAACTTGACTAACCTCATAAAATATTAGGAAATAAATCTAAAGTTAACATCATTCTACAGATTCTTGTCTCCACTCACAGAATAGCTATTCCTGACTTGTACTGCCCTCTATATGTGCAAATTTTTTCTCACCACAAGCCTTGATACTCCCACCTACCCTCACATGTTTTCACATGAGATAGCAGCATGATAGCATGCAAAAGAGTATACAACAACCCTCCACGAGTAGGAATGCAACACAGCTGACTCCCTATATGAAGCTTAGCCCAAAGTCACCTCGAGATTGAGCAATAGAAAAGGAAAAGACATCGGAAGTGGGGAGAAAGAATTAGTGGAGGTAAGAATCTATCAGAAATACATTTTCAGCATAGGAAAATGTTAACTTCCAATACCATATCTTACCTCTGCTCAGATAATAGCTAGAATCTCATATTCACCTGGTGGAGTGGTATAACATTACCTACATGAGCCCCTTCAGACACACATGATGTGTCATAATAAGAATGAAATCGCAGGAGGGACTCCATAAATCATATGAAGGGATCCCTGGTGTAGATTGGCTAGGGCACAGCATACTGTGAAGGGGAGTTCAGCCTCAACCAACACTAACAGAACCACGGTAGGAATATTTGGCCCACCATATGAAGAGGGTTCCCTACTGGTCATGAGAAGTGGAAGGGAAGAAGCTCTTCCATTCCAAGGACTCGTATCATCATGTGTGCATATCCAAAACAACCAACACCGGTGCCATTCGGGAACCGATATCTGGACAACGGCAGGAAGGTGGACAGAAATGTGGCGAGTCAACTCAAGTCCAAAACCAGGCAGCACTGGGAATGAATCATCCAGTCCATGGTAGAATGAGGGTAAGTGGGTCACTCCCATGTGAGGACTTGTGTGGCTGGTCCAGCTTCAAATAGCATCAGTACCCCTGGGAACCAACATTAGGGTGATGGTAGGAAGGACACCCAGCTGAAGGGTTGAACTGCATTTTAGCAGAAATTGTCCAGTCCATAACCAGGCAGTGTCTGGAATAGTACATCAGGTTTTCACTAGGAGAAGTGTCTATACACCATCTACTCCAGCAGAACACCACGGCCCTAGTCTCAACCAAGTTGAATCAAGCACACTCAGAAGGAAGCCTCCACGGTCCATTATCCCACTGGCTAGGAGCTGGTAAGTGAAAGAGGAGAGGGGAATAATGCATTGGAGAGTCCAGAGGAACACAGCACCAGTGATATTGCAATGGATCACTATGAAACCATATTATGAAAAGCAGACTGTTCCTGATTCAGTCAAATGAAGTAGCAGCAGGGATGGGAAGCAGTCTCCTCCTACTTTACGTGTGTTAGTCCACGAGTGTATAGCCCAGAACAAACATATTTATGACACAACAAACAGCGAGGAAAAATCTACAAGAGGTCTTGCCGAACATCCCATCTCTATGGCTGGTATTATTGATTTGAATGGTCATACAGTGCAGGTTTTAGAATAAGTATACCTGGTGAGGCAACATTAGCCACTAGGTAGGATTTGTATATGTGAGAAATGCCCCTGTACAATAAAAAGAGCACCTACCCATTCAGAGAGAAACCGTGAAGCTCAAGACAGCAACAGGAATTAGCCGGTGACTTGCAGAGCAGGAAATGGCCATAAAATGAAGAAAATGTGAAATAAATGGATAAGGAGTGGTCCACATACCAGCATGAACTCTATCCTCTAATGGACGACAGAATTAGGCAAACAATTAGATGAGGAGAGACTTGGAATAGAAAACCATCATCAGGAGACAGGGAAAAATTAACCAGGTGCATCCAACCCATAAGGGTAACAAGAGAAACATCAAAGGAAATGGAATGGTATCATTGAACAAATGGGAATTACAGAATGGAGCAGTGCAAGACACGTAACAGTGGACAGCCTGGATATGATGTGCATATGCCAAAAGAAGGAGAAAAAAGACAGTAAGGAGAGATGATATAAGGAACAAGATGACACAGGCTCAAATGGAAGAAGTTTAATGGCATGGATAAGGACAGCAAGTTTCCAAGTAGGGAGGATGGTAGGACACGGGGGACGATGAAGGAAGAAAGAACAAAAAAAAAATAGGGTGAGAACCAGAAAAGTGAAACTACTGCAAAATCTTGTGAAGTGGAAAGTGGTTGACAAGACTGCACAATAACCAGCAATAGTGGATACTGAAAGCCCTTTGACCAAAAACCAGAGTAAGGAAGGAAGTCAGGTACAGAGAGTAGGCCAGGATGGATGAAAACCATGATGAGAAGACCAATGGCAGTAAACATACCATCTACATTGGTAAACTGACTTGAAGGAAGATTGAATGGAATGGGAAAAAAGAGAAGAAACCCACAAGGAAATTGCGGCCTCTCTGGTAAGGGACCAGACAAAAATCAAGTGTGAAGGCGGAGCATTGGAAGGGAAGGATGTAGCATGCCCAATTGAGGTTGACTGGGTGAGAGAGGGGTAGAGGAGGTGTCAGAAAGAGCAGGTGCAGAAGTGGAAATAATGACAACACTAGCCATAGTAGTACCATTAAACCTTTCAGGAGGATGCCTACACAGTCCACCACCTCAGTGGCTTAGAACTGGAAAGTGGTAAAGACTCTAAAACTCCACTAGAAAAAAAGGGAGAGTGAAACACAGTGGAAAGCCTGGAGGAACATTTTCACCTGAAACAGTGCAATGGGTGACCATGAAACCCTATTTTAAAAATCAGACCATACCGATTTATTCAATGGCCGTGATAGGCAGCTATACCATTGTGCTTTAGCTATGTTGTCCATGGGTGGTATGGTTCGAGACGGGCATATTTATGAAGCAATATCATCAAGAGGATAACTTTCAAGTGATCTTGTGGAACACCTCATCTCAATAGTGTGCATTGCATGGCCATGGAACATATTAAGCATGTCAACATGACTGAACAGAGTGGATTTTAAAGGTTATAGAATACCTGGTCAGGCAACAATCACCACAGAGTGGGATCCAAAGAATGAGAATTACAATAAAAAGGGAAATAAAGCTCTTGAAAATTAAAAAAAAAGAAAAAATATAACTTACCCAGTCTTATAGTCGCATGGAAGTCTGAAGAATGGCTTACAGGCGGAAGATGATATCCCGAAGAAGAAGAAAGTACGACCCTATACAAATATTGAGAGAAGAATGTATTAGGTGCAGTCCACATGCCCGATTGAAGAATTTCCTCTAACAGACAATGAAGATGAGATGCCAAAGAAAAGGTAAGGTTTTGAACTTGATGAGAAGACAACTGGAACAAAGATAGGAATAAGCCAATTGAATCAAAAGTTGAACCCAATTGGTGAGGGTTGATGGAGAAAGACCGTGAACAGAGGATGGTTGCAAAGGAATAAAGAGATAGAAATGGGCACCATGGATGGAAGCCACACAGGCAATATAACATTGAAGAGGAAGTACAGGACATAGAAGTCTATCCAGATCAAAAAACATACCGTGTAAGAGCAAGCCCAAATGGTAGTGAGCAAAAATGATAAATTACCACTCGATGGACAAACTGAAGATATGGTCGCAACTGACAAGCTATCAGTATGGGTAAGTCGGCATTCAGGACGTCCATCTTGGTCATCCATAAACCTGAAAAAAAGCCCACCTGATGGTGAGAAATGATTCCATGGTAAAACAAGGGAGATTGAGAAATTGATTGGGGCAGGACAAATCTATGACAGGCCACCAGTCTTCGGTTTTTCTAGGGGATAACATAAAGCCTGGAATAAAAACTGGTAGAAAGATGATTCACAGGTTCAATGGCCTATTGAGATAGACAGTCTTGAACCTCTTCTGATAGATGCTGGCTGGTAATGGGATCCTGAGGCAGGGGGAAGGAAATGGATATCTGTGACAAAGGAGGAAGAGAAAAGAATTGTAAGACAAGTCCATCTGAGAGAACCCAAATAACTCATGGATCTGTGACAAAATATTGCCAAAGGGGAACAAAGTTGCACAATCGAGCTCCCACTGGACTGGAACACACTGGGTAGTGACCGGTACTGTTGGCATCGTGCCGATCTACATAGAAGAAAATGACAAGATACAGAACCCCTGGAAGAAGGAACAAGTAGGGCTGAGAAGGACTAGGATGGGAAACAGGAACAGGGACTTGTCATGATTCCAACTATGACAAACTAGCTACCAAAGAAGAAAGGGTTGAGTGTTGATACAGGTATTCTACTCGTGATGCCAAAGTGTTCGGGATATGGTTAAAAACATACTCTAAGAAAGGGGGCTATACATAATTCCCTGAGATAAGTGGGTAGCAAACAAACCTGAGACAAGGCCACATCACGACACAGAAGATCCCAACAACAGAGAAACCATGTGCAAGGCAAGAGCTGAGGATGACAAATGAGCCAATGTGGAGGTAATAAGCGAGAGGCTATCTCTAAAAAACTAAAAAAAAACTCATGATTTCAGTGCATAGCCTCTAAAGGGATATGTATGGTAGATAAATACCGTAGAAGGGAAGTAAAGGTAAGACGAAGGCA